TTTAAATTTTTGTATCCAACCAGAAATACAATTGAAGTTAAGAGTTAATAAAAATCAAATCTGCGGTATTATTTGTAAACATTTCTTTAGTTCGACGAATAAAAAAAGACCAAGTAATGATTAAGAAAAATTTATTGAGGCAAATTTTCTTAAACAAATTTTCTTAATGGTTTTCTAAAGTTTGTTTGTGAAGAGTGCAAGGCACACTTGTTTTCAATAGAAAGATATGCCCGTTTCATTATGTCGTAAGGAAAAAGTGAGACAGCAGGCTAAAAAATATCAGATGTCAAAACTCCTTGGACACTAACATTCACACACACGAAATAATCGCAATTTATTGCTTGACCGTTTACTTGAAAGATCCGTACTTAGCTTTATAAATTGAAATAAGCAAAATAAGCATGATCGTCAAAATTAAGCTTGAACGCCCTGAATAAGCAAAATAAGCAACTCCTAGCAAAATCTTAAACTCTTCGTCCCTGATTATCTTATTACATTAAACGAGCAATTCTTGTATATATATATATATATCCACAGGGTTATCGGAAACGGCTCTAACAATTTTAACGAAACTTTGTACACAGATAATGTTTTGGGTATTAGGGTTATCTGAATAGGCATTAACTCCGAGAAGACTCGTATAAGGTTGCCACCTTTTCGAAATTAGTAACAAATTAATTAAAACATCATAATATGGCTATCAAATGGAAGGTACTTTAAAGATCCCTAATTCAAAAATGGTTTTAGTAGGGTAGCCACCTATTTTGAATAAAGTTTCTATTTCATTTGTTTGTTTAGAAAAGGAGGTAAATATTACTACTTATGGTTATCAAGAGAAGAGATGTTCTTAAACAATGCTTTCCCTATATACAAAATGTGATCTCTTAGGATAATAGTGTAAGGTTGCCACTTATTTTCGATTGTACACAATTTATCTAAAGATCGCAATATGGATTTCAAATGAAATGTATTGTTGAGAACGTTGGTCAGAAAATATTTTCCATCAGGGTTGCCACGCTTCTATGTAATACAAATTTGTATTTTGTTAATTTTAATCAAAAATTTTTTTATGTATACATAGTACATATACGCGCAAGATATGTACTATTTATTCCAGGGTGGCAACCCCCTACATAATTGATATGGAAATATTATATTTTTGTTTGTTTATTTCCAAATCTTGAAAACTTTAAAAAGTATATGCACTCCGGGCAAAGCTCGGTCAACCTGGTACTTATATATATAATGGCTCTATTATGAAATAAAAATTCCATTGAAATTTGCATATTCGGTGTGTTTTTTTTTAATTTTAACCAAAACTTTGAATCCACTTCATTACTAAATGGTCGACTTGTGTTAAGTTTTACTACAAGGGTACATACATACATATATATGACACATGCCAACTGCCAACTGCCAACTGCCAACTGCCACTGTGCTCCCATCGCTCCCTATAATAATTAACATATCTAGTAGTTAGAATATAAGCAACATAGCGATTGACGGCCAATTGGGGCGTGTCAAACTGTTCGACGTGGCGTGGTCGAAAGTCAGCAAGCACTTGCGCTGCTCTTTCCAATACATCTGCCATTACTTACTAATTATATTTGTATTTGTATTAATTTTGCAAAAATTTGCAATCGTTGCATGCAGCTCTCCCCGCCAACGGTTTCCGCCTACACCTACACGAAAGTTCTGTTATATTCTTCTTTTTCGTACTTTTTTTTGTCGCTAGCCTTTCTAATTTGCATGCAAGTAAAGTACTGCGTTCGAATAAGAAAATTTATGTTACTTTTGACGATTTAATAGTTGGGCATTTCACTGTTGAATTTTTTATGCAAGGGTGTAAGTAAATATATAAACGCGTGCATACTTTACTTTGACACAATGTTTTAGCTTATTTTATTTTACATATATATATGATTTTATTTTGAATGCAAACAGATTGCAAACGTCACACGCCTAGTGAGAATATACAAATCGGCGCTCGATTGCATACAAGCAAGGCAATCGACTGCTGAGTGGAAACACCCTATCTACAAAAAACTTTTCAAGAACGCCCTATTTCAGAATTCGGTTTAAAAACTCCCTAACTGAGATGCCGATTCAAAAACGCTCTACCGCAGCACATTTTCCATACATTTTCAAGTGAGTTGGCAAACATGATAGGACACGTCAGTTAAGGGATGGGCAATTTTTTAAAGTTGTTTAAAATTAAATAAAACGTCATAATATGTGTATCAAATGAAATGTATTTTAAAAATCCCCAAACCAGAAATATTTGTGAATAGGGCTGCCGTCTATTTATTTAATTATTTGTTTATAAAATAAAGGTACATATTACAATATTTATGAATTTGCTTATATAATAATTGTTATCTCTTAGGATATTAGAGAAAGGTTGTCACTTATTTTCGATTCTACAAAATATAACTAAAACAATGCAATATGGGTATAAAATGAAAGATATTTTTTGGAACATTAGTCCGGAAATATTTGCGATGAGGATTGCATGTACTTTTAATATAAAAATGTATTTTGTTAATTTCAATAAGCATGTTTTTGTATGTATATGCTCAATAAATGTACTCTTCATCCCAGCATATTTCCAAATAGGCTTGCCACCTAATTTTTAAAGTAAGAAGTTTACTTCTTTTATGTGATATTGCATCCTTAGTGAATTTCCATTACAGTTTTCATATTTATTAAGATTATTATTTTTTGTTAAAATGTCTGTATTAGTCTGTAAAACAATTGGTTTTCATTGACTAATATTTTCTTGAAATAATTAAAAATCAAAAGCCAAATTTTTACTTTTCCCAAACTATTTGTTTTAAAGATATCTAACTAACCCTTTTTCGATACCCAAACCTTGAAAACTTTAAATAATATATATGCACTTCGAGCAAAGCTCGGTCAAACTGGTACTAAGTTATTAAGCAAATAAATTGTAGTCTAATCGAAAAATTTTTATTAAGAAGTTTGATATTTTAATAATAATTGTTTGAAGTGTGATTACTTTTTGTGAATTTTGTACAAGTTTGCGAAACGTATTTATGTGGTTTTTAAATAAAATGAGCTATATTTAAACAAAAATAAATAACGAAAAATGTTCATGATAAAACTAAATTACGAATACTTCCTTCTGCAACTGTTGCTGTGTGTTGCTCAATATAATGCTTTTTTTTTTAAGTTCAAAAATTTTTAAAAATTAATATTTCGGTATATTACACTGCGGAACAAAAGTGATCTTTAAAAAAACACCTAGAGTGCGCATATATCAGGTTGATAGCTGTTGGCCCTACGAACAAGCGTCATACTCAGTTTTACTAGGCCACTTCGTATGCAAGTGCATGTCTTTAATTTTCGACCACGAAAAATCGTTTATTATTCCTTTTTAGCGCTCACCGTTGACCGAAATGGTGTTTCCAACAGCATTTTCAGAGAAAATGGGTTAGTGAGACCACCGCTCCAAATGCGCAGCAAACTGTCACTCTCTGAGGATGCATTGGCTTTTCGAGCGTTCTTCGAGCGCAAAGCGGTTCATTTCGTTCCACAGAGATGTGATACTGACTTTGTGCCAAGACTACCAGCAGGAAAGAGCGTCACTGAAGAAATAACACATTCAGACAGGTTCTTCAATTCACTTCCGAGTGAATTTCAATCGAAGGCTACCACCCTTATTTATATTTTTCTTTTTTTATAATTTAATACAAAATAAATTCACATACCTGACCCAACCCACCAAGCAAAACATGAGAAATAGGAAACAATTGTCAATGGCAACAAATTTTGTATTCAAAAATAAATGAAATATTAAAAAGAATGAAATTTTTCCAAATATTGCCTGTAGCAATAATAAAATGACACGAAAACAACCCATTCAGGTAATAAGAAAACGGTTCAATCGGTCGAGTTGCCGTCGGCAGGCGTTTTAGAGCGACTGGCGATAAGAAATCGATACGATGGCGATATTACCGGCAATAAATTTGTTGCCGGGGGCGACACGTTTTCTTATTGCCGGCAACAAAAATTGTCTGGTGGTGGTGGTTGCTTTATGGTAATTAAATAACATTTATTTTATTTAGTCCTCTCTCATTTGATACCAAACTTGTTTAGTTTGGATAAGCGGTTTGTTTATTGTTCGGAAAGGACTTTTATTTCAAAAATATTTGGCCAAGTTTAACTGCTAAAAAACAATTGTTTCCGTCCCTGATTAAAACAATTGATATAGAGAAACATTATTTCCTATATTAAATATTTCGTACGTCCCTTAAAGTCTTTTGCCATGAACCCTTTTCACTTCCAAACTTCTTGTAAATTCTCTCACATGGCAATTCATAGCGTCAAAATCAGTACTTCTGTAATGGAATAATTTTCGTTATTCAAGAAGAAGAGAGATGTTTTTATAGATTCACTTTCGTGAACCTCAATGTGTCAGTTTGTCGCACTACTTCTGGGTGAGAGAAGCTGCAATACGGTATGGTCAAAAAAGTAGCTAATGTGGAAATTCAAGCCGAATCGCAGACAATTAGGGTGTTCACAAAGTGTTGTATGCTGCCGTATAGTTGTACGTATGTTGTAAACTTTAAACTGCTAAAACCGTTCGTAAGGTACCCTTGTGACTTCAAGTCTGCTAAACACTTATTGAAGCACTTAAAGTTTACGACATACAACAATACGACAGTATAAAACAACCTCGTGAACTCCCTAAATACAAATGTACATATGTGGCATTAGGGAATTTCAAAAACTGCTGGGATAAGTACTAGAAACTGATACAATATAAACAAGTATATATATATAACTGTATGGATGTATGTATGTATTTCGCCAGCCATGCCGATAACATCGATCGTTCAGCAGATAATAGGTGCCTTCATTTTTATTCTACCTTTTCTTTCATTTTCGCGCAACCTTTAATTACAACCTTTTTCTGTATTAATACCGCAAATTATAATCAATTCAATAATTTTTTTTTTTTAATTTTTCACTTTTAGGCTTAGAACGGATCGCTGAGGAGTTGATGGAACGCATGAAATGGAAGCAATACCAAGAGCCATTAACTACGCGCAACCATACAAATCACACTGTACAAACGCCTGCCGAAACAGCAGCAACAGCAGAATTACCACCAGCAACAGCAGCAGCAGCTACAGCTGCCGCCAATACAACAGCGACCTCAGGCAGACCAGCAGCAGCAGCAGCCTCACAAATCTCGATAGAACAGCAGACATACACAGAGGACCGATCAACGCTAAACGCGCAGCACAACCACCACAACGATCAGCGTACAGAGGGAGAGAAAATTCCACATCCGCAGCAACAAAATTTGATCAGCGATCTTGCGGACGCCAACAGCGTGAAGACGGCAGCGGCGTCACCGTACGGCAAGAGCAACGGCACTGCAGCGGACAACAACAGCAACGAGCGTGCAATCGAAGGCGCAGCGTACATTGAACAGCAACAAAACAAAGAGAACACAAACGACTGCCAGACCGATTGTGCGGCTGAGGAGAACAAGCAGCTGCAACTTATTGCAGGTGAGAGAATTCATTACCCTATAGGGATGTGACTACGTGCAGATCAGTATGGATTAAGTGTGATCCGAAGCTCATTCTTATATGTATTTCTCGTGCATAAAGTTTTAGTATCAGAACCCGATCACTATACCGCTCTCACCATTGAGCTTAGCTAGCTTAGTTATCGGACTGCTTTTTTTTTTTTGTTTTTACTGCAAAGCAAGTGGTATAACTTTTAAGTAGAAACATTTCTAAGATGTATTACATTTTCCTCTGCCCTCTTTTTTTTTAGACAACACTACAACATCACATAATCACAACCAACTTCACCACAATAATAGTAATAGTACTTTAGCATTAAATAACAACAAAATTTGCGCCAACAACAACACACCAACAGCATTTACAACAAGAGCAACCAATCCATCACACTCAATTACGCCAACAGTAAACATCACAACAAGTGTTAACGCCAGCGAGACGAAAAGCTTGCCTGTTGTACCTACGACAACCGCATCACCACCGTCAACGCAACCACCTGCACTAGCTAAAAAGGCGCGTGTCGTGGTGTCCAGTGCGCCCATCGTCGAGCCGGTCGATTGGAAACCGAATGAGAAGTGTTATTTTTGCGTGGACGGCAGATTACTCACCGTGAACGCGAAGGGCGAATTAGTTGCCGAGTCGGCGGGCCCGTTTGTGTCCGCCGCCGGCGGCGATCCAGTGGAGCGCGGTCAGAAGGTTAGTTCTGTGAAAATCAAAGAAATTCCTATATTTTATCTGTAGATATGTAAAGTTGAGTCAAAATTTAGCGTAGACCCAAATGGTATTTTTTACTGGAGATTGAAGCCATCTGTGTCTTCGGTGAATAGAAAGGAGTATATTCTGAAGAGCTTGGTAGCACTCAGTCTCCTGTGTGTATGCCTATTCTTAGCTGAAGTTTAGGGTATCTGTGAAGTCCGTAGGCTACCAAATAAAATGTGGGAAAAAAAAAACAGATCAATGATTTGTTATTATTATGGTAAACAAGAGGCAAATAATTATGCAGACCCACTAAATGCTCTGAATAAAGTACACGCACTTTAGCCACTCCTAAATTCGGCCGAATTTCTAGTATCCGAACTGCGAGTACTAGTTTTTCAGTCAGTAGCTACACTAAAAAGAAAAATCAGGTAGAATTTTGTAAACTAATAAAAAAAATAGAAATTTTAATATAGTTCACACTGTAACAAAAATTATATACATAAATGAGAATTTCAAACTTTGTACAAAATTTAGCAAAAAACATGAAATTTTCGTCAAAATTTTAAATTTTTAATCAAAAACTTGAAATTTTGAAAAGTAACCGAAAATTTAGGGCAACTAACTAAACACCCGAAAAGATTTTATTAAAAAGTTTGAAGCGTGATTAATTTTTCTAAATTTTGTACAAAGTTTAAAGCCTTTTTTGGTATACATATGTACCTACATATGAAGGTCGATTCTCAGCTTCCATTATTTCAGAGAATGGGATTTTTTTTTTTTTAAGTAAAAATTACGAAGTCTGCTGACATTTGAAGCAGTTCGTTTAACTCATTTATAATTTTGTAAACAAAAATTATTTTACTTATCAAATATTAATGGTTAAATTACTTAGCGATAGATTTCTTGCCGCTTAACGCGGTATCCAGCATTTCTTAGCGAAAATAAAGCGCAGATAATTTAGAATTATTCAAACAAAAAAATATTACATAAGCGTTTAATTCGCGTCTTAAAAATTATTATTTTTTTCATTTTAATTCCCCTTCCTTATAAAATTTTTTTTTAATGTTTTTCATTCAATTTCAAAAAATAAATCAACAAATAAAGCAGCTCGAGACCGATAGCGATTCAAACGAATCATCGCATGTGAATTTGGCGAACAGTACAACAACAGCGGCTGTGGTTAACCCACTAATGCATAACATCAACAACACCAATACTAACAATAATAATAATAGCAACAACAACAACAACAATAATAATCGCATTGACTGGAATAAGCTGTTGACGACACGTTTGGTAGATTTGCCCGCGAACATGACTTCAATGGACTCAATGGCCGCGCAATTAGCAGTCATATCTGGTTATCCAAGTAAGTGTCAATGCAGCTTACGTAAATATGTATGTATGTTCCGTCAAAAAAAAATGTGTGCACAACTAAGTAATAACTTTTCTTTTCTATGTATCCCTTGCCTCTTCGCACAGATTTCAATTGGCTACAATTGATGCAACAGCAGCAGCAACAACAACAACAACAACAGCAGCAGCAACATCAAGCGCCAACCCAACAACCAACGCAACCACAACAGCCGCAGCAGCAGCCGCAGCAACAGCAACAGCAACAGCAACAACAGACAAATTCGGCGACACCAACTACCTCAGAGACATCGGCCGCCGCTGTAAGTCCGCCACTCAAGGATTCACCCAGTCCCAGTGATGCCACCGGTGAACAACCATTAGATCTTAGTTCCAAACCATCGCCAAATTCATCCATTAGCGGCGATTTGAAAGCAGTGAGGTAAGTGATTATAACCAAAAGTATGTACAATATACATATGTATGTACATATGTACATATACATACGAACTCATGGTGCTATTTGGAGTTCGATCGGTGCAGTACTTCCAGCATAGTATGGGATCTACATATGTGGCCACCACAATAGTTTTTTTTTACGAAAAATAGGCGTAGAAAGTGTAGTTTTAAGCTAAGTTAACCTCCTGCCGCCATGTACCGTTCCCCTCCCGGTACTGCCCGTCAAATATTTCGTCAGAAGGTGGTTTAAGCACGCAGCTCTTCGATCAGTTCATTCCATAAAAAGAGATCAAAAGTGTTATGTTCCCTTGCGATTGCTTCCGTAGTCATCCCGGATTAGTCCCATTTGTTGTAGGGTAGTGTTATACTAAGGCTACTAGCGCGATGTCATTTGCAAATCCTTAATGTCTAATCCTTCCAGTAACGGGAGTCGAAACACTGTATCATACATTGTGCTCAATAAAAGTAGAACTAAATAGCACTTAAATAGACCTGCTGTACTCCCATAGTTGTCTCATTCCTTTTTGATTCCAGCTTCTGTAACGTATTATAGGACTCTGTTATCGAGGTAGCTCCTCCTTGTATTGGAAATGTTTGGCCGAAGTTAAAATTTGACTCAATTGCCAAAGTCATAGAGGAGTTTCTTAAGAACAAAAATTGTGTAGTAGGTACCTTCCTTTATATCGAGAGGGCTTTAAATAACGTCCTACCTGGGGTGATAATAAGAGCCCCTACTTAGCTCGGAGTCGAGAGCTACTTAGTAAGGCTCATCTCACATATGCTGCACGACAGAACTGTCACAGCGGTATGGGGCAACGCCTCTGAGCAGCTTAAATTGAGCAGATGCACCCCGCAGGGAGGCGGAGAGGAGTTTCATCTTTTCTCTGGATAGTCGTGATAAAGGACGTCCTGGGGGAGTTGGAAAGTTGGAAGGATGCTGGATTATTTCTTACACGGATAACGTGGCACTCATCGGCAGAGGAAAGTTCTTGGACACTCTGTACGATTTTATGCAAGGGCACCTAAACATGGTCACAAATTGGTCCGCTAGCTGCGGACTTGCTGTCAATCCTGGAAAGACGGAGCTCGTTCTTTTTACCAGGAGGTACAAAAAGCCTCATGCCCAGCTCCCCTCAATAGGGGGTGTTCCACATGTTTTCTCTGACAGGGTCAAGTTCTTGGGCGCGATCCTGGACGTGAAGTTGTCATGGAAACCAAATATTGAGGAACAAGTAAAGAAGGCATCTCTCTACTGCTGCAAGAAGAGATGGGGCCTCTGCCCAAAAGTGCTGGCTAAGCGCCAGCTCTCGATTCTCCCAGCTGTACTCACCGGACATTGCCCGATAGGAACTCACGCGGTGTGACTCAGGATCGTCACGGATCCCTACTGCGGCAGTTGCCTCGAAGACGAAATGGAATCATCCTAGCACTTCCTACTCAACTGCCCTCCCGAGGGACTCACCGGAATGGACCTCAGTTGTTTGCGGAAATTTGTTGTGAGCACCCAGCGCTTCTCGTAATTTTACACAGTTGCCGTTAAAATTAATTTTTATTTAATGTTGTATCCCCTCGCGGGTCTGCCACTTAATCCTAACCAAACCTAACACACGTCTGCATACATTCAAGTTGACCGCTTTCAATCGCTGTCAAATCAAATTATGCAACTCACTGAAAATTTAACGGCAGTATAATGTCATTTGATTTAATATAATTCCTGTTTTTATTCAAATTATTATTCTTTATTTTTAATTAATTTTTTGATGTAAGTATGTAATTACTTTTTATTTTAATTCAATTTAATCTTAGTTCTTTTTATTTTACTTCATTTCTTTTTAATTTTTCCTATTTTATCTTCTTAATATTTTTTATGTTATTATA